TTATTCATACTTTTTCTAATATTTCTGTAGACTTTTATTGATAACTATATATTGCACTAATGGCTGCAGATTTTGGTAAAGGTTTACCAGAACACATAATTGAAATACTGCATTGAAAGAGTTTGTCGCTTCTGACTATAGAATATATATATCCTGAACAAATAATAATAAACCTATAATGAAAAAATGAACAATTATTTCTGATAAAATCTAGAACAATGTTTTTAGGAAAAATGCCGAACAAAAATTTTGTTATTTCCCTATATTCGATATTTTCAATAACTAATCGCTTTTTAAAATTTTCTTAAAGCAAAGTTCACTTCAAAATGAATCATAAAATAAATCATTATTTTGATCATTTATTTTATATTCGATATTATTTATATTTATTCCTACAATTCAATTTGAGAAAAGTTCATAACAAAACACAATGACTTATAACTCGGAGAAATTAATTTTAATATTTTTATTAAATCAGAAATTGATATTTAAATTGATATTTAAATTTCACAAGAAACATATGTTCACTTTTTGCATCTACTTTCCAAATTTGGATTATTGCAAGTGTAGATACTTGCTTTACTCATTTCTACAGCCGGCCCTGTTAATATATATGTATGTATATGTTCCGTGCGAAAACGAAAGAGATTTGGACAAAATAAACAGAATGATTTTAAAGCATTGACTTATTGGCACCTCATACAACATTATGTTATCACATATTAAATTATCACATGTGATAATATAATTGTCAGTCCGCCATACAATATTAAATAGAATTTTCGTATTAAATAAATCGGATTCAAAACTCGACTATATCTAATGCTAATATATGCGATATAAGGATATTGTCGCTCGTGAAAATGAAATCTGGAGACATTCAAGTAAGAATATGATAAATGTATAAATGAAGATAAGTGTGTATAAAGTATTATACGACATAATATCTATCAATTTCTATTAATTTCAGAGAATACTTCAAGTAATAATTATAAGATTTTATGTATGTAAGTAGGCTACTCGATATTTTATTGCGATAATCTGATAATAAATAGTGCCATTATTTTTTCGATTATAGAAAACATTATTCTGCTCGACTTATATAAATGACTAAATTTTAACATAAACGTTGCACGCATGTTAAAGGAATGTGTATATTATCCGCTTTTAATGCATTATTTTTTTAACAATAGATTCTTTAGCCAATTTCCTTAGCAAAAATAATGAAATATTAAATCAAATATTTTCAAACTATATAAACAATTACAGATCGATATTTTACTTTAAATTTTCAATATCAAACAATTTTCAAAATTATCATTTAGATCTCTAAATATAAAAGTATTAACATTATAATGTATTATAACTGAAAGCAAAATATCACACACACACACGCACGCACGCACGCACGCACGCACGCACGCACGCACGCACGCACGCACGCACGCACGCACGCACGCACACACGCGCACACACACACACACACACACACACACACACACACACACACACACACAAAACAAATTCTTATATTTAAAATATATGATACTCTCAAAAAATTATTCACATGAATTTTTTGATTTAATGAATGTGCTTAATAAGTTGATATAGGCCCATCGTAACAAAAATGTAATAAGAATTGTGATATTCACCAAGAATTAAAAAAGATTTAATTTGAATCTCACTTGCTAAGATTCTTAAATCTTAGTATCACAGCGTACATGTTTCGTCATATTTTGTGATATGCATTATTGAACTTCTTATTTCTTACGTATTTTGTAGCTCAGAAAGAATTTTCTATGAAGATAAAATTCTCCAATGTGTCTTTCCAGTAAGTAACAAAAAAATCAACTTCAAAAAAAATTATCTTTACTAAAATGTCTTTCGGTAAGTTCATAACAATTAATATTTACCATTCAATACTAATAAAATCTTTGAAAAATTACTCTACTAATCTTTCTTGCTTGAATGTCTCCATCATCAGATCTATTACAGATATTTGAATCACCATGTAGATTGAATAAAGCTTTGTTGTAAAAAAAGGATGCCGTGTGAAGCATATAGCAAAATCTTGCTTTTACGTAACTAGATTGCATTATTTTCTTGGTATGTCTGTTTTGTTGTTTCTCCGCTTGTAACATTTCCAACAAGTTACGAGGACATTGTGGCACAAGTAGCCTGAACGGTAAAAACCGACTTACACTTACAATGTATCACTTCCTATCTTAGTAAGTAAAATCGATCATCTTAAAACTTTTTTCACTTTGCGAACATTGACATCGCAATATTCGATAAACAATTTTGATAGGTAAAAAGTATCAACAATTTATAGAATGCCTTAAAAAGTAGCAAAATTGCTTTACGCAAAAGAGTGCATCTCACGATTATCTACGCAATTGGCATTCCACGCAACCGCCTCGTACTGTCGCATACATCGATAAAGAAAAAATCGATTAGTGTATTGTATTTACATTACCGAGATATAAAAATACTAATGAGAAACGTATCTTTATAGACGAGGTCCTCATGCATTTTCTCACTTTCTTAGAAATTAATTCATAGTCAAGTTTGGCAGTAATATTGTCCCTAGCTATTTGCATTCTTATTGTTGACAAATTTTTTATCTTATTCAGCTTTCGACAAACATATTCTTGCGGGACGCACTGCGTGCTCATCATTTCCTGTTTCAGTTTGCTAATTTCAAACTGTGCAGTGACCAATGCGTGCTAAAATCTTTATTAACTTGGAAGATCACCAATTCTCCTCTTACAGGTCTATATCATGGGTATAAGAACAAATGCCCTCATTACTGTTACAACTATCATCATCACTTGGCATCGGGAATACCAATCACTTGCAAAAGTATGCAATTTGAAAATATCCGAATTTTCTCGCTGAACCAGATTTGCCTGAATAAAAAAAAAATTTATGACCGTGAATTTAAATAGTAGGTGTGTACACACACATACACGCACATATGCACATGCACACGCACAAACACACACCCGCCCGCGAGCATACCTACTTTACGAAAGCTTTCCGCAAATAAGAGGCAGTTTCCTCTACGGATACATGTGCCTTTCAGCTGAGAAGGATTAAAAGTTTTAATTAAATAAAAAACTCAATGAGAGATATTAATTTTTTAATAAATTAAGAAAAAGTAGTGTTCAGCGAGATATCCCTTCACTACATGCTATTAATGTTCGTCACACTTCCCGAGGCAAAGAAATGTTTCGACAACCACAACACACGGGAACCATTAGATATCCTAATTTTAAAGATAATAAAAATAATAATACTCGACACATTTGTCGCAACAACGTTCTGTAGCCTATTTTGCAAAAACAGCTCTTAATATCCACGCAAACACGCGTGCGTTTGAGTGTGTATATATGTAGATAAGAATATTCAATATGCACAAGTATGTATACTCTCGCGGTTCTAGAAATATAATAAATTTTATAAAGTCGCGTACATATTCGCCTCTGTGTACAGTTTCTCACTAATGCGATTATAGCCCGAACGGGTTTACCGCGGACATACGGAACTGCGTGATCGTTTTACGTAAAATACGTATATACGTGGAAGAGAGAATGGCGCAAAACACGTGTTTGATGTGTTGTCAGGAAAGTCCATGTTTCATTAACACTTCGTCTCCAAAGTCGTTCTCCTAACTTTGTCAGAACATTCGGCATCTAGTTTTTCTTTGACTTCTGAATAACTACTACCAGAGCCTTCGGCCGATGATGTATGCGACGTATGCGGTCCGACTTCTTCCAAGGATAATATCTCTGTACCAGTAGGCGAGTAACTCACGGTAGTTGCTTCACTTGTTGGGGACGTTACACAACTGTCACCTACACTCCTACTACGCAGAGTATACCGAGGCTTTTGGAACTGTTGTATATTTAGAGACAAACTGGCTTGTATCGACGTTTTTTCCGAAAGCTTCGAAGGGTTGTTTTCAGTTTGTTTCTCAGTTTGTACATCGACATGAGACGGACTTCTCGAGCGTGGAACATGAAGCGGACTCTCTGGATCTGCTGTTAAATCAGACGACAAAATTTTTGAGCTTGCGGCTAATCTACTTGCGCAAGGAGAATACTTGGGCAAATTTATCGTGATTTTGTCCGCACCAACTGATAAAGACGATCGGCCAAATTTTTTCAACGGGCTACAAGCAGGTTTTTTCTTTTTCAACTGCTTTACGTCATTATATGAATCTAAGCTCTCGACAGAATTATTCTTTTCCTGTTCCTTGCATTTGTCAAAATTTCTCTTCATTTTACTTGTACATGTACAATTCCAAGGAAACTTCTTTGTGAGTTCTGTAGTTTTTGCGTGTGTGATATCGGGCTTTTTAAACTTTGTAATATTATCTACAATTGAGATTTTATTATAATAACGTTGCCTACTGTCTTTATTACTGTTAACCGAGTCCATCGCCGACTCTGTGCAATTATATTTAAATCGAGATCCAGGAGACTTTTTTTCTGTAAACTGAGTAAGAGTACCTCTGCAATCAGTAATATCATTAGAAAATGATGCGACCGATTTTTCTCCAATCGCACATTGTCGACAATCCTCCACAAGTATATCAATTAAAGTCGTGTGAGTTCTTTGACTATCCGTCTTTTTCTGATTTTGACCAAATGAATTCTTTAAGCTTCTATGAACAATATTTTTTTGAGCAAAGGGATTTTTCAAATTTTTTGGTAGATAAGTATGTTTCTTGGCAACCTTTCCAGTATGGTTTAATTGAAAATCGTGACAGTCAATAACTTTTTCAGTGGTGGTGATTTTGCTCTGGTCTTTGTCTTTTGTGCATGTAGAAGAATCTTTCTGCTTAGAATTCTTGTTCTCTGATTTCACACTAGATTTTTTCGAATTACCTTCAACATTTGGATACTCGTTTTTGGAACGCCTTTTCTTGAATGAATCTGAATAATAAGTTTCCTGATTTACAGCCTGCTGCTGATCGCAAAAGAAGAATACATCATCTACAGAAGCGAAAGATGATTCTTCATCACAGGGAAGGACAGGTGTCTTCTCCCCTGTGGGAGGCGACTGCTAGACAAGCTTCTCCGTTGGTGAGCTTGTCGAAATGGAACTGATGGTATTAGAATTGTTAGAAACGGTACGTCCTTGACTGTTCGCATGTATATGGCCCCCTCCCTGTCCTCCCTGACTCTGGGAGAGGCTGAGTCGCCGTCAGTTTATCAATTCCACGCTTACAAATTGTTTCAGTCGTTCGAGGTATTGATTGTATAATTCTACATCATTGTGTCCAGCACCCTGAAAAATACCCAAGATTATTATCACATTTATAGTGGAACATACATTAGATTTTATCGATTACAGTGCTTATATTATGCAATTGTATAATAAATAAACATTTTCATATATAGAGCAGTTTTTAATTTAGATTACGGAAAGTTTAAAGCAAAGCACAGAACGACACAATAAAATAAGTAAAAAACCTCAAGAAAATATTAAACACTTTTAATAATATATTATTAATTATTTTATACTACCTCAACCCATAATGGTTCCACTGCTCGTGGACATCTTTCATAAATAGCCAAACCATGGCTAAAATTTATAACTTCGTCTTCAGTGCCATGAATGACCAGAACAGGCGACGTTACTTTCGGCACTTTATCTATGCTGCAAAAAAATAAAAAAAAATTATATTTACACATTATATTATAATGTCAATATACAAAGTTTTTATATTAACCCTGGTTAAGTTCTATTTTTCTTCTGATTAATACCAAATAGACATTTTTTAAAAATTTATTTATATTTTTTATTTATTATTTTATATTTTTAAAATTTATTTACAAGCATTTATATATTAAAATTATTTTAGAAAAAAAGTTAAAATTGACAATCGGTATATTGCTAACTTGCCATTAAGAATATAGATTTAAAATAATGTTTATATATATAAAATATGTATCTACACACATAATTACATAAATTAATATACATTAAGAAACAAAAAATATTACAAAAGATATTAGCTTGAAATTTAATTAAAAGACTAATCTTAAATCAAATCTTTTTATTCAAAATTGTACTGCTCGAGAAATCTCAATCTTATGTCCTTCTAGTTAAAAACTATAAAGTAAAATAAGACACGTACAAAATAAAAATATATGACAAATGTGTGTTTCATTTAAAGAGTCATTTATTATACTGCCATAACATTTTGATATAAATGCAAATCAATTCCCGTATTACTTATTTTTTATATTTTTCAGCCATTTATTCTCTGCATTAGTACTTAACTATTTCAATTTAGAATTTTTTTTTAGGCTTTGCGTAAAAAGTCATCTTTATTTTATGCATGCATTATTATCTAACAATTAGTAAATAATAGGAAAGCAAAGCAATAAGAGAAATGACAAAGTATACAAAGATAGAATAATGTTGAATGACTATTAAGATATTCAAATTTATAACCGGATTTTTTATTTACCATTCAGAATAATTTTCTTTAATATTGCAATGCAACACAGTATTTTTATGTCTCACTCATTGTATTAATTGTTAAATTGCATTGTAATTTGTAAACATAACAATGAGTGAATAAGAAAGTACTATCGACAATTGTTGAACATATTAAAATTTTATTGAATACAAAATAAAAGTTGGATTGAAATAAAAAAGACTGAAAAAAAAAACAGTTTATAAATAATGATCTTTCGTAAACTCAAGTATTTTAGTACTGTAACAACTTTAAATAAGATTTGAAATGTGTTGAAAACAAAAAGCATGTGCTTATTGGCCATGCATACCTATGTCAATTGTGATGTTAAACATGTGAATAGCTTCTTATGTGATAATAGATGTATTACAGTTGGTGAAATCGTAAAACATTTGCAAATTCGTGTTGAAAATGTTGAAATTATTAGTAAAGAACTGAAATTATAACAATATAGGAATAATAAGGGCAAAGAACCAGTAATATAAAAAAGTTATAATTTAAACAATATAAAAATTACATAGACATACGTTTCGACTCCGATCGGGGCATTTTCAATATTACAAGTTAATACAAAAAAATTAATACAGACAAATTAAATAAGAATCAATAAATTCAGAGTTAAAATAGTTGTAGACATCTTAATGTGTGTTATAAATTCCATTTTGTAAATTACATAAGTTTGCATTCTTCAATTTATGTTTCTGGTCAATAACATAAAATGTAGCAAAAAGTGACATTCTTGTCAATTGTATGAGTAAAAAGCCTCCTTTGAAACATGAAGAAAATAGTATCACAATTTAAGCTAACTTGCAGGACTAAAACATTTAATCGGGGTGTCAGATAATGTAATGTCCACTAAAATATTATACATTAAAGTAAATGCTCATTAGATGTTATAATGGCAGAATACTAATCATTTTGAAAAAAAAAAACTCTTCTAATACCAAAATATTAAGATTGCAGTAGATATATTATTAGATATTATTAAAAAAATCTGAAGAAAACTAATTAAAAAGGCACATTATGCCAAGAATGCAACATAGGTTTCATTTACATAAGTACATATACATGTGACATAAATATACATTTGTCGATTGTACACTTGCACAGCTTCTCATGATTGTAACTTTACTATAAAGAAAGATATTTTTGCATTAAGCTATTATTGGTTTGTTACTATTCATTATGACTTTCTAATACACTTGTCAAACATTTTATCTGTAGATTACAATGTGGAAAACAATCTCTAGATATTTTACGTTTTCAGGAATAAATAGATTTATTTACATCTTACGTATTATTTATTAAACATTTGTTAAAAGAAATATTTTTGAGTAAAAAAAAGAATGAGAAATGTATGTTGATGCAACATATATGTATGTCTAACAAGGAGAATGAGACTTGGCAACGGATCCTCTCAATCTCGCTTGACTTCTGTGCTTTCTGTGATCTGTGATGAGAACGTGACTTGACCGAGGAGGGTATTTCCTGCGTACCTGGTGAAAGCATCAAAGAACCAAGTTCTTTTGGTTTTCGGGAAAGCAACTCGCATGCCAGACATGAGTGGTGAGTGCAGCACTACCGCGCCGACCTCGTATCTTGCTGCAAGATCGACAGTGGGTACAGTGCCAATGCTTTGGCCGTAGAGTATTATGTTCTCCGGACTGATGCCGTAACGTGTACGCAGTGCGTGCCACGCGGCATCGATGTCCGCGTAGAGGTTTTTCTCGGACGGCTTGCCACCCGACACTCCGTAGCCTGAGTAATCATAGCTGAATATATTACAATTTATGCGTGAGCCCAGCCCAAGGTAGAAACTCGACATCTGCCCGAGATCGACAGCATTCCCGTGTGAAAAGAGGATGGTGAAACGTGCGGTCGCTGAGCAACGTACGAATAGGCATGCTATGCGGTTGCCGCGCGACGTCCTCGCATAGAAACCTTCCACCGACTCTTTCTCGCGTTCAGTATATTGCCACTCGGCGCGTTCCGATAGAGAGATGGAGAACTTGGAGCCCTCGTCTTCGACAAACGTGTACGTGGGCTCGGGCGGCAGGAAGGCTAATTTGTCTGCGATTCTGGACGGGCAGGGAGGACAACAGAACAAGCAACACAATTCACTCAGACTTAACCCGTTCATCGTGTAGCGCACCGGACACGCACAAAATCTCTCTCTCTCTCTCTCTCTCTCTCTCTATCTCTCTTTCTCCCTTTGATCACCCTGTTGTCTCCCTCTGGCGAAGCCTCGGCATGGAGCTCTCCAGCGATCGGTTCGTCCTGGGCTGAATCAAAAGGAGCTGACAGATGCGGAGGCACGTCGTAAACGTCGTTGTCGCGCGAAATGGAAACCTCGATTTTTCATCACTCTAATGAATCACTCGCGGCGTCATTTGTTATCGGTTTCCTATGAGAATCGCTCACAATTGCTCACAATGATTCAGCCATGACGGCTCGTGGTGGAACAGATAGACCTTTCCTCTCCCACCTTGCCTCGTACTTTTTTTCGTCTCTTCTTTTTCGCCAACACCGTGTCCCCACTCACTTTACATCGCGTGCTTTCATTGTGCTAGGTGAGACAAAGCGCGAGACAGAGACGGGAGCCACAATTCACTTTGCTGGCGTCACATTCCTATTCGATAGTTCGGAGCAGCTCGGTACCACCAACCAAAGCTTCACCGATGCTTGTCGCCACTCGCAGTCAATCGCCGTTGCCGTTGTTGGGTGTCAGACGATGACAGTCGACCAAGTCCGATCAACTCCGATCAGTCCCGAAGTGCCCCCTTTTCTTTTATAGCGTTTTCCAGTTTCCACTGGGAAAACTGGTGCAACACTGGTACGCATTGAGTGCAATTATGTTGTTCCACTCTGAAAATTAGTTCAGTCTTCAGTGTTTAATGTTCCACTGACACAGGTGCGAAAAAATCGCACTGAGTTCAATTTTTGCTCCACTGTCTTTAAAGACGGCGGAAGACTAGTGCAAAGGCAAACTGAAATTAGGTTGGTATGCACTTTCAAATACGTTGATGATACGTTGAGGTATGTCATTTAAATTATTTTAATTAATAGTAATAATGTTATTTTCAGTTTTTGCTTATTTTAACATAACTGACATTACTATTTTAATATTCAAAACCATTAGGGTCTGCGCACAATGGAGGAACAGATATTAGATATTAAAATATTAACCTATCAGATACCAGTTACACCGGACTACACAATTCTGATAGGTTAATATTTTAATATCTAATATCTGTTTCTCCATTGTGCGCAGACCCTTAGGCTGCGCACAATGGGGGAACAGATATTAGATATTAAAATATTAACCTATCAGATACCAGTTACACCGGACTACACAATTCTGATAGGTTAATATTTTAATATCTAATATCTGTTCCTCCATTGTGCGCAGCCTTAAACTGATAAAAAAATTAATAAATAATTGAGAGAATATGTTAAAAATTGTAAAATAAGCAAATTAAAAAGTAAAATAAGCAATTTAAATTTGTGTACTTAATTTAATTGAAATAGTAATTTGTTTTCTGAATCCATTTTTCTTATAAGGCCAGGAAGTAAAGGTGCCATTTCATGCAGCGAAGAAAAGTTGGCGTTTTACTCCCACTCTATCATAGTAAAGAGCATAGTATAAGTACATACAGTAGGTTGACTGAGGCTAAAATCCGCGAAATGATTGTCACTCGCGCATGACGGAAATGCACACTCAATAATATGGCGGCTTATAGGGATTCTCGTCTGTTTTCGTCTCGTGGAACACAGATTGACACGGGTCGACAATAACGACAAGTCAGTTCCGACCATCGACATATAGTATGGATTGCGCAACCATACATAAAAAGTGTCCAGCGAATTAGACAAAGAGGAAACGCGGTGTGAGTCAATCGCTCGCTCTTTCTAATACTCCTATTGGCTGCTTTTACTACCGCCCAGTGAATCACAGTGGATGTCGTAATGTATCGATAGACGGTAGAAAGAGACATAGCAATTAGAAAGAGACAGAGCTTGACCCACACCGGTCGCTATCTCTTTCTTTTGGGCCGGTCATATTCTTTCAGCCTGTGCATAGTCCATACTAGAGACCCTCTAATCAGAGTCGCGAAATAACGTCAATAAGGTTAGGTCGGCGATACCATTTTTCAGCAAAAACCTGAAGTAGCAATTATAGTACATTGTGTAACAGTAAGGGAAAGTTGTTTATTGTGAGGACGGGTGCGACGGCACGAGCGAAGCGAGTGCGTACGCGCGCCCGTGTCGACCTATAAACAAATATGCCCCCACTGTTACACATAGAATTTTTCTTTGTGTAGAGCACATTACGTGCACGCATGAAGAAAAATATAATACTACTGCACGTACGAGCACCATCGCAGTTGCAACAAAAATACTATGATTGTGATACATTAACACCTAATACATGTGAATCTAAATACAGTTATCAGAAAGAAATTACATTATTATATTTTTTATATTAATACTGTATTTCATAAAATTATATTTTTTAAAATGACTAGTTGTTCTGCGCCAGACTGCAATAATTCTGTAAAAAAGGGTTATATTATGAAAATCTTTCCTCGTAATCCTGAAAAAGAGTAAAATAGGCAGCGAATGTAGGTCGACTTAAATTTGACGCCATGACTATTTCCGGTTTCTGCTGAAAAATGTCAGCACCAATCAAAATTGGAACCGTTATTTCGCGACTCTGATTAGAGGGTCTCTAATGCATAAAAAAATGGGCCAATGAAATTCCTTATGCACATGCTTTATGCGTTATGCAAAAGTCTGTGTTGGGACTCTATATGTTGATGGTTCCGACGAACCACCCAATCGTTACGGACGCGTTTGGTTCGGGTGCTTTCCATTGTATATTTTTGTTTTTGAAAGTCTTACCGACTTTGACTGTGCATCGCACCATGGTGGAAATATAGAAGGTGAGTCGTTCCCGTGGATGCGCAGTAGCCTAAAAGTGGGGAGCAGACAGCCAATCATAAATGACCCATTTGGCATAAATCCAATATGGCTGTGTTACTGGAGCATAGCGTATGTTATTACGACTATAATTGTGTAGAGAAAGAAGAAGAAAATGATTGTGTAAGTAATAAACGAATTATATGAAGGTTTTGTTCAGAATATGTAATGTATATAATATAATATGCAATATAATAATAGAGGTTAGTAGATACAATATGTAATAAGTATATATTTTTCATATATAATATTGTATAATAATATAATATTGTGTACAATAATATAATATTGTTACAGTATGCAATATTAAAAATTCTCTATTTCGCAGGTTATCTTTGTGTTGACTCTATATTAAAATGCCAATGTTTTATTCTTTATAAAGTCAGATATGGAGATAACTCACGAAATGAAGAATTTTATTATTTTATTATTTTTATTATTATTTTATTATTTTTATTATTTTATTAATATATAGAGTCTTATTAAATATTCCTTCCTTTTATTATTATTATTATTATTATTATTTCAATTATAAAGGATTAGTTTGTAATATTTTTATATTTTAATAAATTTTATGAATATTTCGTTATTATTTTAACTTCTAATACTGTGTTCTTATTAATAATCTTCTGTAAATATTTAAATTCCGCGCGTGCGCAATGGGTCATAAGTGATTGGCTGACTACATATGTCCCCCACTCTTTGCCGCCGTTATGCGCAACAACACACCTTGTATATTTCCACCATGCATCGCACCACACAGATGCGTGTCCGCGGATGAGCTCGTCTCGATCTCGATTGTTCGTCATTTTGCACCTTTTGACGACTAGAGCTCTCATGACGCGCGTTATTGCGACGTGACGACGCCGTAGATGCAGACGCCCGGAGACCGGTCGAGCCATTTTCGCGGGCATTGCATCAAATATGAAGAAAAGAAGCGGATATTCGTGTGCGATATATATAGATTATAGTATTCAAATTGTCCGCGCTGCACACTCAACATCATGGCCGACCATTTCTCTTCAGATCAAAGGTGCCGACACAGAAGTCGACCTACTGTATGTATGTACTTATACTGTGGTAAAGAGCGTCGAAAAGCTATTCGCTATTCTCCCGCTACCTTGTAGTATGGAGCGTAAAATCGGTGAATCTGTTTTTTGGATGCCTGAGAGTTGTCGGTTTAAAATAAAAATAATTCCTGGTGTGTGTCATTACTTCGTCTTGCATGCATCTGCTTTTGAATTATACATTTAATATAAATATATATAACGATGCGGGTAGAAGTGCATTTAAACGGTTTTAATCGTATGTTGACGGCGAGCAGACGAGAGACAATAGTGATGGCAATAGCGAAAGAGGTTAGGAAGCGACGAGCACAAGTTTTATATGCAAAGATGCCAATGTTGCTCGAAAAAAAAAGAGCTTACAAAAAGAAACAATATTGGGTAGCACCGTATTTAAGAGATCGTCTGGAGCATAGTTTTTATCATGTATCTCTTCCCAAACTGACTGTAGATGATGGAGTACGGTTCCATAATTACTTCCGAATGTCAACAACACAGTTGGAAGAATTAATGTCGATTGTTGGGCCATACTTAGTGAAACAAAATGTTGTTCGGGAATCCATTGGACCGAAAGAACGTTTGGTAATAACGTTAAGGTTAACATTTATCCATCAAATTTTCTAACGAAACTATTGCTCAACTGCTTTAGCATTTGTTATACCATATATGTTTGTGTACCTACAATATATAGGTATCTTGCATCTGGTGACTCAATGACATCAATGTCATACCAATATCTAATTGAGCTAACGACGGTATGCAATATTATTCGAGAAACATGCGAAGTAATCTGGAACACTTTGTGTCCTTTGGTTTTACCTCCTTCATTATCAGAAGAAGACTGGCTCAAAATTGCAAATAATTTCGAAGACATTTCTCATTTTGTCCATTGCATCGGCGCCATCGATGGAAAACACATAATAATTCAAGTACGTATTTTTATTATCATTAAGTCTGACACTGTATCTGTAGTAATAGATAAACTATATATTTACTATCCTCAAAATTATTCATGTAATTTACAACATTTGATGAATATCGGATATGGCTCCTGTTTCAGTGTCCTAACAATGCTGGTTCCACATACTATAACTACAAAAATTCTCATAGTGTAGTATTATTGGCCATTTGCGATGCACATTACATATTTTCTTTTGTGGATATTGGGGCTTGTGGACGACGAAGCGATGGAGGCATTTTCGGCGACAGTGCTATTGGCAAAAACTTCAACGCAGGTAGAATGAACGTGCCGAAACAATCAGCTGTTGCAGGAGAACGAATTCTACCATACTGCCTTGTAGGAGACGAAGCGTTTCCTTTAAAACCATATCTGCTCCGTCCATATCCTGGCAAGAATGGACTGACATTGGAGCAGGACATCTTTAACTATCGGTTGAGTCGTGCAAGAAGGTTTATCGAAAATGCTTTCGGTATTTTGGTCAGTCAATGGCAAATTTTTCGCAAACCTATTATTGCTAAACCAGAGAATGCAAAATTGATGGTACAGGCAACAATTTGTCTACACAATTGGCTTTGCAAAGATAACATCGGTAAAAATTGTTATGTTCCTGCGGATATGGTTGATGAAATTAATGCTAGTGATCCAAGTACTTTCATACCAGGTACTTGGCGTAGAATTATTGAAGATGGCTGTGCATTTCAAGATATTGGTAATTGCGGATCGAATAACAGTGCTCGGAACTGTATACAAATTCGTGATGAATTTTGTGATTATTTTTTCAATGAAGGAGCGGTACCATGGCAAAATAATCGACATAAATAAAACGTTAATATCATAAAAAGTAATGAATTGGAACAATGTAATTTATGTATATTTTTTAAAGGATTTATAATTTATTTATAATAAAGGACTTTTTTCTAAAGGAATTATAATTTAATTAAATTTATTATTATATTATAGACATAAAATTATTTATTATTATACATATAAAATATTTATTACTATAGATATAAAATAGATGAGATATATATATGTATATACAAGAGAAAGATAGATATATAAAAATAGATATAATGATTTTATTTTCGGTTATTTTTATCATTACGACGTTCTGCTTGCAGTATGTTTAGAATAGTTATCATTGCTCTTTCACTAGCATCCTCGCTGAGAGCTCTTAACTTGGCAGCGATCACTATTCCAAACGCAGCGTACTGATCATTGTCAATATCATTAGTAGGTATGTTGACATTTATGGGCTCGTTCAGTATGTCTTCAATATCTTTCAAAATAGTATTAGATTCGAGTCTTCTCAAGTGCCTTGAATCAATACCTGACCAAATTATACTTTTCACGAAAACATAATATTAGGTGTAGTAAAAAAAAATCCATTATTTTTCCAATAGATGGCTTTAGTAATCTGTATCGCGCGTTGTATAAGTGCGATCGGGTTACGCTAAATGGCGTTAGAAAGATTTCGTACTAAAAAAACTTCTCAGCAGTTTTGTGATTGCTTGACTCAGTATTGTTTGAGCGCGTGTCAAAAATGGACATCAGCAAAGAGAAAATATGCTATATTTTACAGTTTTTCTTCGATAAAGGCGAAAACGCAAGCCAGGAGGTTGAAAATGTGAATAGTGTTTATGATCCTGATACTGTAACAGCCTTTCACGCGCAATTTTGGTTTTGTCGATTCCGTTCCGGTAATTTTGATGTCAAAGATGCACCACGCTCTGGAAAGCCAATTGTCGAAAATGTCGATAAAATAATGGAAATCGTCGAGTCCGACCGTCATGTAAGCACTGTTTCGATTGCCCAGGAGCTAAACATTGCACAAAAAACCGTTTGAAACCACTTGAATAAGGCTGGATACAAAAAGAAGCTCGATGTATGGGTGCCACACGAGTTAACGCAAAAAAACCTCATGGACCGAATTTCCATCTGCGAATCGCTGCTGAATCGCAACAAAATCAACCCATTTCTGAAGCGGATGGTGACTGGTGATGAAAAGTGGGTCACTTACGATAACGTCAAGCGAAAACGGTCGTGGTCGAATCGCGGTGAGCCGGTGCAAACGGTGGTCAAGCCAGGATTGACGGTCAGGAAGGTTTTGCTATGTGTTTGGTGGGATTGGCAGGGAATCATCTACTATGAGCTGCTCCCCTACGGCCAAACTCTTAATTCGGACCTCTACTGTCAACAATTGGACCGTCTGAAGGAAGCAATCGTCCAGAAGCGGCCAGCGTTGGCCAATAGGAGAGGAATTGTGTTCCATCAGGACAACGCAAGACTACATACATCGATAGTGACTCGCCAGAGCTTGGTTGGAAGGTTCTTATGCATCCACCTTATAAGTGATTACCACCTGTTCCTGTCTATGGCGAATGATTTTGCTGGTAAAAAATTCGTCTCAAGAGAAGCTTGTGAAAATCGACTGTCTCAGTTTTTTGCCAATAGGGATGAGGGTTTCTATGAAAGAGGTATAATGAAATTACCTTCAAAATGGCAACAAGTTATCGAACAAAACGGTGTATATTTGACCTAAATCGGATCATTCTAACTGTACTAAATAAAGCCTTCAATTTCATGCAAAAATAATGGATTTCTGTTTATTACACCTAATATAAGAGCACATATATTTTACATAAACATAAGTTAAATAATAAAACATAAGTTAGTTAATAAAACACAATAGCTCCAATATGTAAAATTATTCAATTAAAATATAACGGCTGAGAGCCAACGTTGGATGTATGTTGCTAAAATTATATATTTAAAAATATAATAAATAATAAAGCTCTCTCTGTAAGTATAAAACAAAATAAAATAAACAATAAGAACAGCCTACAACGGTCAAAGCTAGATCATAGTGCTTATTATAATTATGTGTGATTTTTATATACTGCGTATGTAGTCCCCCCAATAATCACACATAATTATAATAAGCACTATGATCTAGCTTTGACCGTTATAGGCTGTTCTTATTGTTTGTTTATCATTGTATGATTGTATTAAGAATTTAATATACAAAATAAAACAATTTCTGTGTCGAAACGTTTGTTGATTATTTTTATTTTTGTGTTTTAAATTAATAGTTCTTTATTATATAACTGGCTCTTAGCCCTTTAATTGTTTTATTTTTAAACAATAACAAGAAAGAAGGAAGCACAAAGCAAAGCCTATCACGGTCAAAGCTAGATCAAGATGCTTATTATCATTATGTGTGAATTTATATATCGCGTATGTAGTTCTCTCAATCGCGTGCCGAACATTTTTTCAGACTTACAACGCATCTCTAAATAACTACCGCGGTAATATCACTTTTAAAATAAGATTCTATTATTTGTTTTATTTTGTTATATATTTAAAGTGACATAAATAAGATATATCTTACGTGATGAACTTCTGCTGCTCATACTCTCTTCCAAATTATAATTTGTGCTGTCATCATCGTCCAAACTATCGTTACTTATAATGTTCGTTGTTGTCCTGAAACTGTAAGAAATTGGTTAATCGAATTCTTATGTGTGTGTATGTATATACACTATTTTTACGATACTTAATTATTTCTATTATGCGCAATATATACATACTTGCTTTGCAGACATATATTTCCAAGAAACTCCATCCTGTCCATGTGGATCCACTTCATTTTTTTACGAGCTCCTGAGCCACTTGGCATTTCTGATTCTTTTTTATTTTTACGATATGTGTCTGACAGCGATTTCCATTTTTTTTTGGCGTCTTCAGAAGTAATCAAACCTGTAAAAGAAGATACGTCAGATAGAATTATAATAAACATTATTATATATATATATATATATA